AAAAGCTATATTTACATTGTTTTTGTGCAATTTTTATTCCTAGAAAATAAAGGATTAAGTTGAATTATTAAATAGGATCATCCCTCACACCTTGTTTATAATGCAAACTCGTACACAAGCCTAATCTTTTCTGCTTTAAGCACTGCTTAGAAGACACACTGGTTTTAGAAAACAAACAAAAAAGGTCAATGGAAGCACCATTAAAGATGGAAAGTAGAGAATTATATTTCAGTTATTTTACTCAGTTTGATTGGTTATATTGGTTACATTTTTACAAAATGTCAAAAATGGTGATAAGCCTGACAAAGACCATCGGTCTTAATTTCAATCAGAATATAAATAAAGGAAACACAAATGCACTTAATATTAAAATGTGAACAACGTATGAGACATGACCTCAACAAGAGGAATAAACATACAGTCTTATGCAAAAGTTTAGGCACCCCTTGATAAATAACAGATTTTGCTGATTTTTTATTTGAACAGATGTTAACACAGTTTCTCTTGGAAATGGAAAAAATGTACAATATTTTCTGCAAACAGTGATGCATAGTTACTTCTTATGCCATAAATTGAACAAAAATAAAAAATAAAAACATTATTATGGCATGGTGCAAAAGTTTGGGCACCCTACACAATCAGTACTTAGTAACACCTCCTCTGGCAGATATCACAGCTTGCAAACACTTTTCATAGCCAGCTAAAAGTCTTTCAATTCTTGTACTTGGGATCTTCTCCCATTCTTCCTTGCAAAAGGCTTCTAGTTCTGTAATATTCTTTGGTCGTCTTGCATGCACAGCTCTTTTAAGATCTACCCACAAATTTTCAATGATGTTTAAATCAGGGGACTGTGATGGCCATTCCAAAACCTTCAGCCTGCGTCTCTTGAGGTATTCCATAGTGGATTTCGAGGTATGTTTAGGATCATTGTCCTGTTGTAGAAGCCATCCTCTTTTCAGCTTCAGCTTTTTTACAGATGGTGTGATGTTTGCTTCCAGAATTTGCTGGTATTTAGTGGAATCCATTCTTCCCTCCACCCGTGCAATGTTTCCTGTGCCACTGGCTGCAACACAACCCCAGAGCATGATAGATCCACCCCCATGCTTAATAGTTGGCAAGGTGTTCTTTTCATGAAATGCTGCTCCTTTTTTTCTCCAAACATGCCTTTGCTGATTGTGTCCAAAGAGTTCTATTTTAACTTCATCAGTCCACAGCACTTGTTTCCAAAACGCATCGGGCTTCTGTAGATGTCCTGTTGCATACTTCAGACGTTGGATTTTATGATGGGGACGCAGATAAGGTTTTCTTCTGCTGACTCTTCCATGAAGGCCTTGTCTGTGCAAGCATCGCTGCACAGTGGAACGGTGCACCACCACTCCTGAGTCTGCTAAATCTTCCTGCAGGTTTTTTGCAGTCAAATGGGGGTTTTGATTTGTCTTTCTGACCAGCATACGAGCAGTTCTGTCCGAGAGTTTTCTTGGTCTTCCAGATCTCATCTTGACCTCCACAGTTCCCCTGATCTGCCATCTCTTAATTACATTTCTTACTGTGGAAACTGCAAGCTGACAACGCTTTGCTATCTTCTTGTAGCCTTCTCCTGCATTGTGGGCATCAATAACTTTCATTTTCAGGGTCTTACACAGCTGCTTAGAGGAACCCATGGTTGCTGGGTGTCCACAAGTGTGTGCACAAGGTTTGAAGAGTCAAGGTATTTGTACAGCTTTGAAATTGGCATTTACCAATGACAGCTGTTGCTGTGCATCAGATCTACCGAGCTGATTAAGGTCTGAAACCTTGTGAGAGACTTTGAGACTCTGGAACTCTTAGGGTGCCCAAACTTTTGCACCATGCCATAATAATGTTTTTATTTTTTATTTTTGTTCAATTTATGGCATAAGAAGTAACTATGCATCACTGTTTGCTGAAAATATTGTGCATTTTTTCCATTTCCAAGAGAAACTGTGTTAACATCTGTTCAAATAAAAAATCACCAAAATCTGTTATTTATCAAGGGGTGCCTAAACTTTTGCATAAGACTGTAAATCTAAAGGGTGATCAAAACATTTTTTAATAGCAAATTATTGAATAATCTTACTTTTTTTTAGGACTAAAATGGTTCCAATAATCCAAGGAAATGAAATGATTTTGATTGAACTGGTCACAACTGGCAGATGCATGGAACCTGTGATGAAGGCATGGCTTCCTTTTAAATGATCACAAGCCAGAGAGGCACTGACCCAAAGCATCTACTACATAGACGCCGAAGTGAGGTGGTACCATTTTCACATAGTGCCAAAAACACATCCTAACCTACATACTATATGTAGTATATTACTTTTTTTTTTTTAATTACTGACATAATAAAAGAAGGAAATATATTGTTTTCTGGATAGTTTTAAAAACTACTTTCAATGCTTATTTGTACAGGCTTAAGATATGTTAAGGGCAAGACAAATATCTTTAAAGTCTACATTTACTGAGTCAGTTTCATTGATTTTTTTCTTATGCTTTGTGCTTTTTCAAAAAATAAAAATAACATTCACTCAAACATCAGATTTTCAAAGATGACACCAAGGAAAATACTCAACTAAGAGTTATCCAAGTTTATTATTATTTTTAAAACTAATATAAACCCCACAGAATATGATCCTGATGCCTTTAAGTCAATGAATGCATGGATACCTGCTTTAAGTACTGCATTTCAACACTCCATTCAAAATATTTTTTTTCTTTTTTCATATTCAGAGTGGAAATACATGGCCTCAGTGCACCGTCATATTCACTACTATTCTCCTGCCCTTTTCTCTCTTGTGCACGTCTATGCAAGTGTGTTAGTCAACAGAATTAGTGTTTTTCTTTCTGCTGCAGTCAAAATGGACACTGCTGCTCGACTACAGAGAGGCAAAAGGGAGGGCGGAAGAAATGGTTTCAAGTGTGACAACAAACAGTAAATATTAATCCCAGATTCAGCTGTGTATTTCCCTCTGAACACACACACACACACACACACACACACACACACGCACACGTACGCACACACGCACACACACAGGAAATTGAAGTCCACACTACTGCCAGTATCAGATTGACAAAATGATCCCAAAGTTGCAAGCGCATGTGAAATTTCTTACACACACATGTAGACCTGAGATCATCAAACAGAAACCTAGCTAACCCCACACAGGCCCGTCTGCAGGGAGAAACCCCAACGAAATTCACAGCAGATACAAACAATCGTTCATCTTAGAAAGAACAGTCTAGGGAGGGACGAGACATTCTGTTCCGTGCTCTCTAAAATACATCAGATGGTGGTGGTAACGGTGTTGTAGTCAAATGAAGGTGCAGGAGGGAGGTGTGATCGTAGCAAAGCATGTGCATATTCAGGGAGTGAGGTGAACATTGGAGTTTATTTTCACTCTAGAAATACTGGGTGTGCACTAATACAGCAGCTGATCTGTTAACATATATCCCTAGTTAGGAATGTCTTGATTTATTTAAAAAAAACAAAACAAAAAAAAAACATTTCACTAACAACCCACATCTTCTAAACATAAACTAATCAATACAATGATTGGTAAAATGAATCCTGCAATGTTTTTTTCCCCAGACTGGAGGCTGACGTTCTATTCTAGTAAAGCAAGGCATTAGGTTTCCAGTAATGCATCTTTACTAGAGCAGCCATCCTCACCTGCAAGTTGTTAGGCTGTTAAGCCCATGTTATATGTGCAAAGAAATGCATTGCAAGGAAACATGCAGAGAAATAAATGAGAATGACACTTAAGGAAACAATCAAAAGCTACATAAAAGCTTTATAAATACAATAAAATTTTTAACCCTTAATGGAGAATTCTAGCTGTTGTAATATGTCATAGCTGGCACTCTAGGCTCAATGCTTTTTTGTCAGATGTTTTTTTTTTATTTTTTTGTTGTTGTAATTTTCTTATAGTAGAGCTGCACATGTAATTCATGCCATCTTTGGTTGACTGCAGTACTGAAGAGAAAATTAATATGATCTCAAAATAAACTTTCAATAAAAGTTGTTAAAAAAAAAACAGCATCAACTATCAGCAGACAACTGCGCC